TCCCACCAATCTCCTGATATATGCCTTTGACTGGCGCCAATTTTTGGCTCCCTGTGCCCATACTTAGAGGAATTGTGAAACTGTTTTTGCAACTGGAATTCTTCGTTCCAATAATTTATTCAAAAGCGCATGTTATGCCCTTTCTAGCGATACTAAAGTCGAGATTGGCACTCAATGGATTATTGAGGTATGACTGCTTGACTGATGCAGTAGTTCGAAAAACTTCCCTTGACGGAACAATTTGAACAGTGTCAGAGACTGACATCTGCAATTCCCCCTCCAAGAAACCAGACTTGTAATATTTCATTGAAAGACGCATATTATGCAATTTATAACGATACCAAATTTGAGATTGGCACCCAATGGATCGTGAAGCCTTCATGACTGGGGTTCGTTGACGAGCGAAACTCCACGAGAACAAAGGGTGTCCTCTCCACCTTATGAGCAACTCACGGATACTCAATGCTGTTTAGAATTCTGAAGCTCAGGCAGTTTACGCCATCCCCTATGCAGATTCCTAGTGTAAAACGTATTCAGCTGGTGATTGCATTGAGAGCGTTCAGAACACAGCGGATCCTTTTTTCGTCCTTTCCTTAGTCGTCACGAGGCAGTGCAGAATGTCATCATGTCAATGAAGGTACGCTTGAAATGGTTTATCGCAGGAATGAGGCACGCATCTCTGGCTTTTCTGCATTGTTACAATATATGTTACTTGATAATGTATTAATCACCCAATATTTATCCGTGAAAAATCTATTTTTTTTTTCGATGTGTGGACGTCGATGTTGATAGAACAAGAGACGCTGAGTCAAGTGTACAGTATTCGGAAGTTACTCATTGACGAACAGACAAATTGGCCCTAGGTATATAGCCCGAAAAACCTTTGTGTTCAGCTCCCATTTCCACACGTATGTTAGAGAATGCCAATATTTAGTTCTATTTAGTAATGTGTATATCTTCGAAGTCATTGTGGAAGTGAAGAGCGGGCCAAAGAAGAATATAAAAAACGGTATTTTCATTCAGCTGATAGCGCAACTGGCTTTTTCTTTTTGTTAAGCTCTTCGGGAGAGGCTATATTAATTGGTGGTTGTGGGATTCTACAGGATGTAAACAATGTTTTGGATGCAGATGAGACTAGAATTTTGGTGTTTCCAGAGAGTCTCCATATTAAAAGAGAATTCGGCACACAAGCGTTCTGAAACATGTCTAAATGTTTCGGTGTGTAAATTTAGCAAATTAATGCATTTGCGCGTATATGCATCATTTTTATCTGGACTGACAAACGGGGAAAAAATGTTTTAAGAATGTTTCTTTGGGAAAAATGTAACTTGTCACATGTTATAAAACCACCTAGAGTGTCAAAAGATACCCTGATCTTATCATGGTGGGAATTTTGATAATAGGGTCATTCCATGTCAAATCACTCAATGGGACATGGATTTTTACGCGGTACCATCTAATAATTTAATGAAATTTGGTGTTCGGGGTTGTTTAGCGAAAGAAAATGAATTGCCAAGTTTTTCCTTTCTCTGACCGTTTGTTCAAGTGTTATGCGTATACAAAATTTCCGGGATGGAGCTTCACCTCCCATGGCAATAAAAGCTGAAGTTGTGGTCCGATTTCTACAAACGAGGTGTCCTTTAAATGAGGAAACTTGTAAAATCCAAATACAGGGTGCGTCTATAAAATATAAGGGATTTTATGTTGTAATAATTACCTAACAAATTACATCACAAAGTTATGACTGACGCAGTGAGAAATATTTTTTTTTTTCAGTTTCAGTTTCAGGAGTTTATTTTCGGCAAAATGTATTTTTTTAAATCTCCTGATGACATGTTCAATGTGGTCACTGCGGCGATTAAGACATGAGTTTATTCACAGTGCGAAGTTCTCTATCACTCGGAAACACGTCTCTGGTGGGATGGATCGCACGACAATCTCCACGGCCCTCTTGAAGTCTCCAAGGTTTTGGGCTAGTCCTCTGTACACATTGTTCTTTGCGTAGCCCCACAGGAATGAATCGAATGGGTTGACGTCGGGGGAGTGAGGGACCTCACGCAATCTCTGCACACCTGGAGATGACACTCACCGAACATTTCTCGCGACAATTTCACGGTCTCATTCACATTGAGGGGCGTAGCGTTATCTTGCTGAAACCAGGGAGTGTTGAAATGGAGTTCCCGACGCCGTCGCAGTCTGGCGCAAAATTTTGGGAAATTTCCCATGGGAATCCTACGGGATTCCTACGGAAATATAATGGACTGGTTAAGCTTTTTGTCAACAGAGAAAAAAAGTGTGAGACAGCTGGGCAGAATGGACGTGAGGGTGGATTGGGAAAAGTCCTTCTAGTATTACCAGTGTAATACTCGCATTTTTTGTCAGAACCCTTGTGAAGAAGGCCCCGCGTGTGAATAGTGTGACCAATCCTATCTTGATTGCCATCGGCCGCTATAAAATGTATCTAATATAAATAGACGATCGTGACTGACTGACTGACGCTAATTCTAACCATGTTCTTTAAGGGTTAGAAATCTGAAACTTTGTTAATTCTAACCATGTTCTAGAAGGGTTAGAAATCTGAAACTTGGTACACATGTACTTTTTGGTATTCCGAGTTCAGAAAAAATCCGATTTTGGAGGTACATGCCCTGGGGGTACACATTTTGGGGAGAAACGTTTTTCTTCAATATAATTTGTGACAGATGAGGATGACGTTCAGAGAGTCAATTGGATGTGCTGGGTTCGGTGGTGTAGTAGGAACATATCTGACTGGCAATCGTAAGGTCCTGGTTCAAATCATGGTCATTCCGTGGCTTTTCTTTTGCCTTCCATGTTCCGTTACTCATTCCCCCTCCATAACATTATTTTTGCTTGAGTGGAACGGAGAGACATGGAAAGCTGAAACTTGGCATGGACGTGCCTAACGAGACGATGACCTCAGGAAAAATGAAAAAGTTTCGATCCATGCCCTGGGGGCATATTTTAGTGAGCTGACGTTTTCAAGTATTTTTTCCCTTGGCGTATTGAGCTGGTGTGGAAAGATGAAACTTGGTACATAACTACCTATTGGGATGCTGCAGAAAACTTCAGAATTTGGAAGGAAACGTCCTGGGGGCACAAATTTCAAAGGGAGATGTTTTCACCAAATTCTTTTGCATCAGTTAAACTGATCAACATGGGAAGCTGAAACTTTGCATGAATGTGACTACTGAGAGAAGGAGTTAAATAAAAATGTTATGTGTCAATACATCCTCTGGGGGAATTTTTTCGAGGTGCAATGTTTTGAAATAAAAATTGTCGTGGAGAATTGGACATAAATGGAAAGGTGAAACTTGGCACACATATAAATGACATGATATTAGTGAGCTGAGGGAGTATTCCGCTTTCATGGTGCATCCACACCGGGCATATCGTTAGGGTGCATCGGCTTTTCCAAGCATATACTGTATTTTCTCCAATCAAAAGGGCAAACGTATAAGGTTGAAACTTTGTGGCCATGTAGTTCTCTGAGGATTAATTTCGGTAAAAAAAATATCGTTTCTGTTAAAGCGCCTGAGGACACATGTATTGCAAAAGGCGTATTTTCTCGATCCAGCAAAACAGAGGGCACTATGAAGTTTAAACTTGCCATAGAAGAACCTGATGGATAGGTGAGTAAAGAAAAATTCTACTTTTATATAGTTTTATAAATAGAGGATCGTGAGTAGCTGACTGACATAAGTCGCTATTCGTATGCTGAGTTCCGGAGAAATTCCACTGTGGTGATACATGCCATAGGGGCACACCTTTTCGGGTAACATATTTTCAAATAGTTTTCTTTGCTTCATTGAGATGGAGAGACATGGAAAGCTGAAACACATGCAAGAACGTGACTGCTGATGCATTGAGCTCAAACGTCAAATGTCAAAGTTCCGAAATATTTTGGGGGCATATTTCTTGGGGACGTAACGTTTTCACAGAATTTTTCATATCCCAGCGAATCAGGCAGAAATAGAAAAGTAGCAGTCGGAGCACGCATAACAGACGTGACGTTGATTTAAAGAAAAATTCAACTTTTGGTGTGCGTCTCCTCAGAGCACAGTAAAAAGAAGAAACGTATAAGGCTTAAACTGGGTGGCATGGAGTTCCCTGAGTCTTCATTTCAGAAGAAATAAAATTTTCGTTAAAACCCATCAGGACACTTTTTTCAGTCCCATTTTCCTGTATTTATTTGATCCAACGAAACAAAGACAGAAATTTTAAACTTCCCTCAGAAGTACCTGTTTGATTGCTGATTACAGGAAAAGTCCTACATTTGAAATATGTCCCCTTAGCGTAGATTATAGGAGGGAAGTATTTCAAATTCTGTCTTTGTTTCGTTGGATCAAATAAATACAGGAAAATGGGACTGAAAAAAGGGACACATGAAAGGATTTCAAGTTAGGCACACAAGAAATAATCGAAGTAATGATTTTGATGAAAATGATGGCTTTCGTCCCCATATGTCATGTATTTTAATGGAGACATACTTAAAATACTTGTTTCCTATTTCGCAAAAAATAAATGAATTAATCACTAACCAAGGTAATGGAGCGCCATTATCATAGCTAGTATAAAATGTACGTCGTCTGCTTCTCCTCTAATTCTTCGTGCCTCTTCGTAGGACGTGTCAGAAGGAATGCAAAGAATTAATGGTTCATATGAAGAAAGTTATTCGTGGCAAGTGGACTTCGGGTAATGAAAACAAGGCCACAATAGGAAAGGAATTGCACATTACTTTTTGAAACTTTTATAATTTTTTTCCAGAAGAATTTTCTTAAATATGATTTCGTTAAGAATGATTTATTCCTGGTAAGAACATAGTTGACACAATAAATAGCTCAACTCTTGCAGGAAAAAAATTCAAGGTTAAGAGCTAAAAGGGGTTTCCTGATCGAAGGCCATAACTGTTGCAGTTTTCTTGGTCAACAATAAAGCATTTATTTTCTCTTGAAGGAATCGAACCAAAGAATGAATACAGTCTTTGCAAACAACCAAGGTATCCTTCTCCATAGACTTCAAGACAAGACTTCCCCATAGACAATCTACATGACATTTCACATTTGCAAAAAGGGAGGGTGCTTTTTCTCTTGGGTGCTGGGGAAGCATATTCCCATCTCTGAAATGGAACATTTTCAGTTTCATAGAGTCATCAGCAACAGTCACTCGCCGAGGCTTGGAGTCGACTCAAAGATATCAGAGTGGATGAGTGGGTTGAACGCAGCAGTTGATTCCTGAGTCTTTTGCAGGATTCTACGCCGTCTCAAATAGATGAAAAACGCGAGACACGACACGAGGAGCAAGGTTGCGATCACAGGACCGATCACCCAAAGCGAATTTCCTTTCTCGGCTGATAGATGAGCAGTGGCACTCGAGAGAAGGCGGTCGTTTGGAATTGCCCCTGGTGGAATGGGGGTCATGTCCAGGGACAGGAAGCTTGACATGTTACTTGTACCAAACTGATTTGGCTGTGGGAGACGGGAATACTATTCGTGAACAAGGCGGTTAAGTCCCTTTTTCTTAGACCTCGCTAGCAACGAAGAACTTATAACAAGCACACGTTGTCACCTTACATGCGAGAAAATTCATGTAAGCTCCAAGTTCGAGGAGTTTGATTAAAAATATTTTAATTGTACTTCTGGTCCTGAAGTAAGATAAATTTAACAGTACAAAAATAAATTTATGATTCAGCCACCTTCATGAGAAAGCAAAAGCAAGGACTTATATCATAGAATCATCTGAGAATTGCGGTATATGAGGAAAAACTCTTTTCACGAGAAGGGCAGGAAGGGATGAAAGAAAAGTGCTTCACAAAATTCCAAGTCAGTCATCTAACCTTTGCTACGACAGGATTATATTGATTTCATCTCGCATTAAAGCACTCCCTATTTTCTTGACTCACCTCGGTGGGACTGTCGACATAGGCTCGAAGGAAGATCTTATAGCGTTTACTCTTAGGCAAGGGCTTGTTGAGATAGCTATTGAAGGTCTGAGAGTCTCCCAGGTTGAATATGTAAGGGACATCTCCGATGAACTTAGCCGCGATGTAAGGACGATCTTCAGGAGGAAGTTCAGTGAAGAGACTGGTTGAGGTCTCTACAGCCTGGATGGGCCATCAGTCACATTACCGTCAATCAATAACCCTTTCTTCTTTGGGCGTGATGTATGGTTGATGACGGGAAAGTCTTACATCATGCACAATATGATATGCGTTTGAATCAGAGAGATTTGCTGCGTGGCTCTCAGGGATCACCACCAAAAAAGAGTGTGATATCGGCCCAAATCTCTCCGATGCCTGAGGCAAGACGACCATTATAGTCCCTGACTCGGTTACACCATACAACGTAGGTGTTGCGAGAGAAGAAGGAGCTGTAGAAATACCATATACCGTTGCAAAATGAATTGAGGAATCAGCAAAAAACATGTGAGTGAGTCAAACCATCCATCTTCGTGGTGACGTAGATGCTGGCCGGAGGACGATAGTCCTTCTTGGGTGGGACTGCGCTCACGTTCACCCTGTATGTTGTGAAGGGGCTGAGTCCATGCAGGGTGTATGATGTATCGGTCCTATTGAGGAAGATGATTCGAGGTGGGATAATCTCCATCTGTGTGGCTCCATTTTCGTCCACAAACTCTTTCACTGCTTCAAATGAAACCTTTCGAGAAGAGACGTTTGTCTCAATCAGCATAGATCATATCGAAAACGTATTGTTAATATACTGTACATGAAATCGGAAGGAAGGGGGTCATTAAGGACCGATATTGGCCATGTTACCGATTTGTTCCACATTTCAGCAATGAAGCGGTACCCAATCGGCACGACAACGATGTATCAATGTTGAGAAAAGGTTGATTTTTCAACTTAATATGTTGTCTCAACGCTTCTCCAATGTTGAAATGAAACAGTTCAACGTTGAGGAGGTGTTCCTGTATAGCATTGCGTCAGAGTTGAATTCTCAACGTTTGGGCAATATATAACCTCCTCCCTTATCCATAGTCGGAAAGAGCGTTTATTGCCGTTAATGCCGATGAGACTGAATACAGATTTGATAACTCCACGGGGAGTACCCTTCCTAATTTTTTTGTTATTTTTTAATAAGACGAAATAACATTGGCTTCGTTGACCTCTCGACTTTAGCTTCCAGGATCATTAGTTTTTGTCAACATCCTTTGTCTGCCTTGGACCAGATCAGCCAACAACAAAATAAAATAAATATTAACCTCTTGAACCACAGGCTCATTCACCAACTAATATTCCAACTTGCTAGCAAATGGTCCGTTAACAATATAAAATTCCATGGCAAATATTTTCGGTTGGATAATGAAAAGGGAACTCGAATTCTTGACATTTTTGCAAAGTAGAACAATAAATAGTTAAGCTGTGTTTCAACGATGACATTTTATCTACTTTTATGATAAAAACATCCCCAGTAACTTTCACCAAAATGTACGTCGTAATACAGAGTGGCGCACAGAATGTTTCACATTTTATTGACCTATATTTCCATTATTAAGATATAAATTGAATTACAGGTAATCTGACTGACAAATTCAAAAAGGTTTTATGCTGAAAAACATAAAAACCAAAAAAGTATTCACCATTCCTTTGGATAATCTGTCTGTAACGTCCAGCAGTGTTCTTCATGATCTTGTTCAGTGTTTCTTGTGTTATGCCTCTGAGTGCTGTAACTACAGAACGTTTATGTTCATCAATGGTGTGTGGATTTGTGGCTAACACCTTTTCTTGAAGGAAACCCCATTTTAAAATATTGGCGATCTAACAGTCTAACGGTCAGGAGATGTTGCAGGCCACGAGATGTCGCTTCTCATACTCATAACTCTTTCCCTTCAAACTCATCAACGATCTTCTTAATCGTTGGATTTGATGGAGGTGTTTCATCAGGAAAATAAAATAGGGATAAGGGCGTTCTTCGTGCATGAATTTATTGAAATGCATTCATCTGTTACTGTGAATATGGAATGCAGACGACGGTTTCCTGATTAGGCATCAAATCCAGCGATGAAGAATATCGTGGATAAGTTTGAAGAGAAAGCGTGATCAGAGTGAGGGTGGACGTCCCATGGGTGGCATCATCTCCAGACCGCCACTTTTTTAAAATGGGTTTTCCTTAAAGAAAAGGTGTTCTCCACAAATCCAAACACCATTGATGAACATATCTCAAACGTTCTGTGGTTACAAGGTTCAGAGGCATAACACGAGAGGCACTCAACAAGGTTATTGAAAGCACTGCTGTAAGGCAGACATTATCAAAAGGAACGGTGAAGACTTTGAACATGTTTTTCATGAAAAAAAACTTGAAACATGAAATGAAAAATTCGAAAAAAAAGTTTTGAGTTTGACTATCAGATGATATGTAATTCAATTTCCTACCTTAATACACAATGAAAATATAGTTGCATGAAATGTTATACATTTTTGGGCGCCACCCTGTACAAATAAGCCGGATCATCCCTAGTAGCATATAACATTGAGTCAACATTTATTCAACGTTGGTTGAACGTCTGGATGTTGAATTAACATCGACTCAATGTTGTTTCAATGTTATATGTTACTAGGGATGTGTATACTAGGGATGTGTGTATGCGTATACCTTTCATATATGCCTCTTTGAAGAGACCTACTCATTTTGGTTCGACTGTAGTTGGATACATAACTTTCGATGCAATTTTTGCTGTGGGAGAAACATGGGGAAAAGAGGATGAAATGATTTTCAGTAATACATTTTTAAGAATCTCCAGACCGAACCTTATATTTATAGGGAACGAAAGCATTGGGAGACTCCCATCGAAGGACCATGTAATTCCGCTCTGCATGAGTAGCCCGTAAATTCAGGGGGACTTCTTCTGGACTCACTTTCACCCGTATCATCTCTGACAGTTTCCCCAAGCCTCCCTGAGTAGAAACCATATGCTGGGATACCTCTCCATTCAACTCCACTCTGAAGCTAAGGAGAAGAGAGAAACCTAGTCTCACGTCTTTGGTGCGGGCAGCCACTCGTATGGAGTACTCGGCCAATCGCACCAAGTTTTGCAGTTTGGCGGAAGACGCGCACGGGATGTCTTTCTGTATCCACTGTTCCGGATTCTCGGTTTCAGCCATGTTATAATATATCTGAAAGGAACAGCAGCCGATTGCGAGAAATCGCCACCTTAATCCGGGAACTCACGACTGAGCGACCCAGTCACCCTATATCCTCCAATGTTTTCTCGCGGAACTTCATCCCACCAGACTTCCAAGGAATCCTTTGAGGTTGCCATGGCCTGAACGCTAATGGGAGCTCGGATGATCTCAGGAGTGGTAGAGACATGCATCTTCTCGGAGAAGGGACCAGCACCTTTGCTGGTGTACGCACGAATCCGAAAGTAAAACGGAATGTTCTCTCCCTGACCCGTCACCGTCAACTGAAGAAGAGTGACAATATATGTATCGCTTCCCTTTGGCTCGAGCGAAGGTTTACTTTTTATTACTTTTTTACGAAGGTTTATTATTTTTTACAGACAGTCTTACCTCGGGCGTGGAGAAATTTTTTTCCCAGATGAGTGAGGTATCAGTCTTATGCAGTTGAAGAGTGTAGCCTAGGATACGGCCATTGCTATGAAGTGGCGTCGGTTCTTCACAAGAGATCGCAATTATATCTGAAGTGATGAAGCGGAAGGAGATGTTTGTGGGCGGGCCAGTTGGGGGTCCCTCAGGGGTTCTCATGTGTGCCATTGCTTCCTGACCGCAGCCGGCATCGTCGCAGCCAGACAGTCGGAACTCATACTCACATCCCTTGTCTACGAGCAGCGACTCGATAGTAGAGCAGATATAACAACATTCAGGAAGGGGATATAAAGGATCATCTCACCAAGGTTTTCAATTCTGTAATTAATCGTATCAGGTTGTTTCAAGATTATTTCTTTCATGTGACTCTTCTCTTGCTCATTACGTGGGAGATTTAGGTAGGAATCGAATCGCTTTTCATAACGCAGACGCCATCCCTGAATTTTCCCATTTGTTATAGATGGTTTGGCCCATGTTGCTTCAGCAGCTACTCCATTGGTCTTTACGTCTAACAGCCTGAGGAGGCAGGAAAATAATGTTACTTTTCAATTCCCTAGGTTGCTTATCATTGAAATGCACAGAATAACTCTCGGGTCAGTTTTCACTTCTCTATTCAATTCCAAAGCTTCTTCTATTCAACTATCGGGATTGCATGGAAATTTTAAATATTTTAAAATTGTCTTCAGGGAAAATATAAAGAAACACAAATTCCCTTTTTATACTCACTTAGATGAATAAAAATTCAGTAATCGCAGGAAAGATGCAAATCTACCTTACGTGAAGTATTGGCCTAGAAGGGACTCCTCCAGGAGTCTTGAAAAAGATGAGGCTACTTCCTGTCCCATTCCCCTGACGCATCAAAGCTGTCACCTGAGCCTCATAATTTGTGTCTGGTTGGAGATCTGTGGCAAGGTACGTCAATACAGAGCCATTCCTAACACTGTATATGAGTGGGTCCCCAATGAGTTTCTTGAGATCATCAGTCTCCTGGATGCTGATTCGATAGCCCGCAATCAACGGATGCTGTTCCTTCTTCTTGGGAGGTTTCCATTTAAAAAATACAGATGTGGAGTTCACCAACTCGGTCTCTACCTCATCCGGTTCACTAAGCACTGGATATGAAGATAGGAAAGCACACAGGTAGGAATCCTTTTAACTCTGAGAAGCATAAGTGATAGGGTATAAGGCGGCAAGGATAAGAAATTATAAGTAAATATTCATTGTTTTTCGTTCAAGACTTTTGGTGCATAAAGTAACCCTTCATCAAGTATGATTAAGATTGGTACGTGATTATAAATTCAAATCAACGAAACATGGAAACTGTTTTCTTTGGTTTGGCAAGTATAAATATTGATGGGTATATTTTAGTCGTACATCCTGAACCTAGAAGATAAATTGTCAATGAAGACTCCCACAAAGAATCCCCACCATTATTAGGTGTTGCATGCAACTTGAGGTTAATGAGTGGTGGGTGAGATTGATGGAGGCTTTTTGAACCCTTCTCAGCATAAAATTGGCGATATGCAATTCAACGTTTCGGCATTAGAAATGTACATGAATGAAAATGTTTAATACCACGTCAGTATTTTCTCTCTTCTGCTCTATGTCGAACTGATAAGAGAATTGCGTGTCTTCACCTGGACTCCTTGTTACAGTTCTCACCATATGTTTGTGTGGAGACAAGCATCGGAGGAGTTGGTGCACCTTCCCCATTCTTGCTTTTAGCTGAGAGCCATATGAAGTATTGACTGTTTGGATACAAGCCGGTCAAGTTGTACTCTTTCGTGACTGGGATGCTCTTGGAATGGACTTCCTATATTACAATAAAATAAAAATGAAATTCTTCGCCATTGACTCAGATCAAAATACAACGATTACTATTTGCCCTAGGGCACATTGCCATCGTACATAACATATACCTTCCCGTTCTAGAATTAAGTTTTGCTAGGAAACATCAAGGTATAGCTACAATTTTAACCATTCACTGCACCGTGTTCCCGCCTGAGAGAATTACCTGAATAAGTACTATGTATAATGGTTGAAGACCCACCGTGTGGGTAGGGAATTTCAGAAATACCCTTGATGTTCCCATTAGGGAAGAACGTAAATACGTTTTAAATACATGTTTGTTAGCAGCTGCGAGCTTATTAAAAAATACTGGGTCAATACCACAGCTGATTAAAATACTATTCGCTTTATTCCCTCGCAAATTTAATAAAATTTTCATTCTCAATTCTCATTCTCATTTCAAATTTCATTTAATTTAATATCTAAAAAATGTTATACATGCACTCTCATATCTTTATCTCACATTTTAGTATGACCTTTGAAAATTTCTATCTGTTGCAGTTTCTCACTTCAAACTTCAACTTTGGCAAAAACTCAAAATTGCTAGAAAATGACTGACTTTTTACGTAAAATAGCTCTTTTCGTATTGTAATGAAATTTATACCAAATGTCAATGCCTTTCTCCAAGGGTTGCATGTATCACGCTGCCCAAGCAGCATGTTCACGTAAACAAGATATCAACTTTTTTCCAAACAATGTAAATTTCTTGCAATTGCCATGAAAATGACATCACGTTTGCGTAAAATTTACGATCCTATGTATACGTCACCAAAGGGTACGCGTATTTTACATCAACTAGACGTCATCCCATCTGACGTGAAATACATGATATCAAGTTTATGAAAAATTAACACCACACCATCTATATAAAACTTTAGCTGACCATCCTGCAGTTGCAGTACCAAGATTCCCCACTAGATGGAATCCTTGTTCCNTGCCTTCTTGGTTTCCAACCCCCCATAGATTTCAGATGGAAAATCTTTCTGTCACTTCAGCTATTTGCTATTTCCTACTATTATTATTTTTTCTCTTTTAGGAAATGAAAAATTATGAAATATGAAATATCCAAGGGTGGAGCAGATATTAAGAAGCAATCAGAAATAGCACAGATTGTTTAACATGTGCCCCTATTCCTGATCACCTGAACATGATGCATTAAGAAAAGTATTTAACATGACACATTGCAACTTGAATGCCAGGGGAAAAGTAACACAAATCTTACGTAAAATGAATGTAAACATGCTGTTTGAGTGTCTTCTTTCGTATGGGAATAGCGACTATTAGATGTTGATGTTAATTTTTAAAATTCAGTCAATAATGGATTTAGTGATGGGCATGCGTTGATGATGTGCTCCATTGTTTGTATTGGAGTGCCACACTCGCACATTGGCGATTGTTTAATGCGGCACTTGTGCATCAGATGTCCGGATCGACCACAAAGAGTCCGGATGCGATTTAAGGTCACCCATTCGCGGCGTGGGAGTGTGACACCAGTATCACGCAGTAAAGCGTTGGAATGGGAGCACGGAGGCCTATCGAACATTCAAGTTGCAATGTGTCATGTTAAATACTTTTCTTAATGCATCCTGTTCAGGTGATCAGGAATAGGGGCACATGTTAAACAATCTGTGCTATTTCTGATTGCTTCTTAATATCTGCTCCACCCTTGGATATTTCATATTTCATAATTTTTCATTTCCTAAAAGAGAAAAAATAATAATAGTAGGAAATAGCAAATAGCTGAAGTGACAGAAAGATTTTCCATCTGAAATCTATGGGGGGTTGGAAACCAAGAAGGCACACCGCGTTCCACCCATATTGACTGCATATCATTAATTTCGAAAGCTTTCTCTGACAGGAGCACCATTATTTAAATCTCCTGCGAAACCGTTAAATGATGTGCTACGACAGAAAGAACAACGCAGCCATAGAAGGGCAAAAACATTTTGCAGATTTTACATGCATTGTTGCTGATTAAAACTCTTAGCTAGTGATGTAGCTCTCCCGTTCGTGAAATGGTGGAAGATGTGTTAAGCCATAACTCACATTTTTATAGGTATCATTCCAATATAATTCGTAGCTGATGATCGGAACAGGTTCATTTTGTAGATCCCAATTGAGCTTGATGGTTGTGGCATTCCCATCCATAAATGTGAGGTTCACCAACATTGACGGAACTGTGACAGCACATGAATCATAAATTTTCAAAATAATAATAGAAAACTTTAATGTCATTGTGGTCCAAAACAACTCGTCCTAATTTGCTTTATTCACAGTAATGGTGAAGGGAATTAAGACGACCAAAGTGGATGATATGGGGAAGAGTAACTTCAGGAAATTGTCGAATGAGTCTGGGGACGAAGGAAATGTAAATTGATGAGGATGTGATGTGAACTTATCAACTCATCACATTTCGTGAAAGTCGCAGATATACTTCATTTGTATGTTATTTACAGTTTATATTGGGTACCGCATAAAAATTCGAACTCTGGCGTTTTGTTACACGATGTGGATAATCAAAGGATCATGATTTTTTGTAGAACATTAGAAACGCTGAAATATGTGTTTTCTGAAAGTTCCAAGTAAAAATAAAGTAAAAAAGACTATGGAATAGATTCAAAATTGAACAAGGATTCCAAAATTGTATTTTCCCCCTAGCTTCTATAGTTTAGGCCGTGGGGGGGGGGGGCTATCTATGTGCAACACCCAGTATATTTTTTTCTTGGATATTTTACTTTCGACATCCACGTCCTGACCAAATTCCTGCCGAGGATGATGGAGAAGAAAGTGTATATGAAGAAGAGGATGAACAAGAATATATTGACACATTATCCCAAGAAACATGTTTATGTTAATTTTATGCAAAATGAATGTACATTTTTCGTCCATTTTATATCTTTTTTACGCAAGCCAGCATATAAGCACCAGATAATGTCAACATATATGCAGAAATGTCACCTCTATAATACGCAAACGGTGATATAAAATTAACGTAAATTTTGTGAAATTGACCTTCCCGTTTACATCCCCAACAGCATGTTTGCATTCATTTTACGTAAAATTGATATTCATTTCCCCCTAACATATTTAACGTATTTAACGAGCCGATTCGTACTTTTGAAGGGAATTGATATACTGTATTTTCCCCATTTCTTTACATACTTCGGAATTCTAGGGTACTTGGATGAGTACACAAGTACTCATCCTCACCAGCACTCAAGAGTACCAAGATGATCCACTGCTTCCTCCTCCCGTACCAGATCCTCGGGAGGAGTAATAGATATGTAGAAAAACTCACTTTCATTAAATATAGAGAATATATGGTACTCATGAATCTGGGATTCTACTCTTCCGTATTCCCATGCACTGCTGTAATAACAAGCTTAGCTTCAGCATTTAATGATCCTCTGAGTCATTTATCATCTTAAAATATATACAATTTTCATGCTTTCCATTTATATATATATTCACGGATCCCATAATAAAAAGCGGAAGGAGAGCAAGAAAACCTGATACTATATCAGGAATGTCAGTACTTAATAGCATTTGTAAGGTGCAAGGAACAAGGGTTCCATCTAGTGAGGAATCTTGGTACTGCAACTGCGGGATGGTCAGCTAAAGTTTCATATGGATGGTGTGGTGTTATTTTTTCATAAACTTGATATCATGTACTTCACGTCAGATGGGATGACGTCTATTTCATGTAAAATACACGTACACTTTAGTGAAGTAAATAAAGGAATGTTAATTTTACGTAAACGTGATGTCATTTTCATGGGAATTGCAAGAAATTTACATTGTTTGCAAAAATTGATATCTTGTTTACGTAAACATGTTACTTGGGATTAGAAAGGTCACAACATCAACAAGACATTACTGAATAGAGAGACAACTTCTGATTAACTTTTATTATTTGTGTTTGTATGGGGAACAGTGCATAGCTAAGTGGAACAGGATTAATTGATAGAGAAAAAGCGTCGTGGGGAAGGTTTCACTTGCCAAAGAATTCCCAAATGACTTCATATTGACTTCTTCAAAGTCCATCAAAGAGGAAGAGAATCATGAATCTTGGAGGTCCACAAAAATGTACTAATGCCATATACAATATTAAGAAAGAAGTGAATCATGCAATTCATGTCGATCCAGATTTACCTCACTGACTCTTACTCTCTGGAAAGTGAAATTCTTGTATAGTTGAAATTTACAGACAATATATTTTCTTCTCGCCATGACTGAAATGATTCTCTTACATTACACTTTTTCACGCCATGATAGGAAGTCAGTGAGAAAACTTCAGCATTCCCTTGAAGTGAATGCAATAAAAATGAGACACGAGGACGTTACCCCCATATTGAGTCTTGGTTTGTATAGGTGGTGAGGCATGTCCACGCTTGAGGGAAGTGTATACCTCCACACGGATGCCATAGACTGTGAACGGTGTTAAGCCTGAGATTGTCGTAAAGTTGTTCCCACCCACCAATTGGCTCGACCACATTGATGTCTCCATGGCAGGGTTACTGGTATAGTAGACCTTGTAGGCCTATGGATCCAAAGAGAAGTGAACATGATGAACAAATGTTCCTTTAAAACCATTTGTGGATTGCAGCCCTGTTGGATATATGAGTGATGAACGGGAGACCAGAGGACTCAAAGATGAGGATGTTTTGAGACTCTATTCACCACTGATTCTAAATCGTTACCTTTGCAATTTGGAAGGAGATTTTCTTACCATTACATCTAGGTGTGACTTTTCCAATTCGTCCCACTGTATCATCAGAGTGGTTAAGCTTATGGCTCTCGCCTTCACATTCTCTGGAGCTGATAGCGTATGACGAATCAACGACATCCTTCTCAAAGCCAGACTTCTTTCCAGCCAATCAGTTCCAAAATAGTCTTCGGTATCTTCGACATCCAGATCTTTATCTTCATTATCTTCATCTTGGAGGGAGAAAATCAGGCATTAGTGGAGGGCTTCCTAACCCTGGGGTCGCCAAGATCATATTTGGGGTCGCAAACCGGTGTAGGACGCGAAACTTACTACCCCGTAGAAACGACTACCGTGGTGAAAGTTGCGTACGCTGAAACCACGACCATATTAAAATCCGCGTACACAGGACCCACTATTGTCACGCAAAAATGACCACTGTGAACTCAGGATGTTTCCAATGGGTTATAGGTTCCGTAGCACGACCTATTTTTCAGCAACCCCTCCAGGGTCATCGTGGGAGATTACCACTGCCCCTGAAACCTGAATCTGGCCCAGAGCCGTACCGAGGGGGGTGCGAGTGGTGCGCCAGCACAGGGCGCCGATTCGCTGCCAAATTATTACGAAGTATGAATAAAATTTAAAAAAGAGCAAATTTTTCTGATTTTAACTAAATTAAACAAATTTTAACTAGATTAATACGTAATGTATTGTTGGTACTAGGGAAGCTGGAGAGGCATGCCGGGGGGGAGGGGAGCGGGATATCTAGCACAGGGTGTTACGGTACGGCTCGGTACGTCTCTGACTTTTTAGATACAGTATCTATCGGAGCAGGAATTGAAGCATCAAAGGATAGGTGGAAAACTGGTTTTCGTGGAAAGAAAACGCGACTGTGGAGAGATGGTTGACTATAGCAATGAGTAAATTGCGACATTCCTCCACTATGGGGAGTACACCTAGTCCACAAAGAACACGACAGTGATGCCCATAACAGTAACTTGAGGCACTGGCATGGAAGGAGTGGAGAAGATGCGGGTGCGAGAAAAATATTCAAGGATGAAGAGCAGGGTGTCGTTATCGTGAAAAATAAGGAGGCCCCGATGCTGACCCATGCAATTAAGCGCTCCGATCGAAAGTGGGAAAAAAACAAAATATAAAGGTAATCAGCCTCCATTGTGGAGGGAAACTGCCGATGATGTCACAGATGAAAAATATGCGAAAATACATTTGTTCGTGGAGGAGTCATTTTGGCGCGGGAGTAGTAACATTTGCGTACGCTGACGTAACTACCGTGGTAGAATGGGCATAGACCACTACAGTAGTAAAGTCAGCTACACAAAATTGATCACGGTGGTCTCAATTGCGTACGCGAAAAGCACTTCCATAAACGGTTTTGAAAGGAGTCAGATTCGCGTGCTACACCTGTTGCTAAATGCCAAGTTATGTATTCCTTTGCTATTTTAGCGCATAGGTGGGTGAGCATGTCGAAATTCGGCAATTGTGAAATTGCGAATGTGGAATACGGTATATCCATAGCATGCTTTCGCATGAATTTATTCGAAATTTCATAATTTTTCTCTCTGAAGTGTTTGGTTCATTCCCTCGCAGATCTGCATTAAACTTCGTAATCTGATGAAGTAGGAAACCGTGAATAAATGATAAAAACTTAGAACACAGTACGCATGGCAGATGGGAGAGCGTTTCAGTGAAATTACTAATTTTTCATTAATCAAAAACGGCTCCTTTCCATTCAAAATAGTGTATGATAGGGGGGATTTCATTATCATTGCGCAACCTCCCCTTGTCAATGCATGAGTATCTAGTGTATCCCTATCACGGAGAAGCTAAAAGTTCTATTCATTAAAGTGATTATTCAGTATCTCCTTTAAGTCGCTTTCGAAAAGATCGTGACCCATTTTCCTCTCTCTTATCTTCTCAAGGAGAGAGTGTTAGAGGAGAACGGCAGAGTCTTGCATCTTTTATACCTTGATCAGTTCTAGAAGTGAGGGCCGCCGGCAGCCAGGAAATGTAGATTATGTCGGTGATGCAGGGTGTCCGTTTCAGAGCAGTTCCTTCCCAACGGAAAGAAGAAGCTGTGACGCTCTTCTTTTCCCCTGCATCCGATAGGGAAATAGGCATAAAAAATACCTTTCTTCTTGGGAATTAAAACCGTGCGTTTTCCGAAGCATCACGATGTCATAATTAAGGGGATATCAGAGGCTGCTGGGAGTCATCTACCATTCGGAATGTAAACTAAAGTTGTCGGGTGGATTCCCTAAGGTGTAGATACTGAAAGAATCAAATGATCGGGAAGGTTTCTCCGAGTATATTCGAAACAGGCTTTTCTGACACGAATGAGGAAAAGGATCTTTCGCTTAAACGTCGGAATACGAATTTAGGTCCCTTAGCCGTAATATTTTGTGGGAAATAATTGTAAAATTCCACGAATAAAACTCAATAGGATTTTCGAGGATATGCAGGAAAAATTTTCCGTCCATTAGAAGGAATGCAGGTTTACGTAATCAGTCGGAAATTTTTAAGATGGAGATTCGAAAATTTCCGAATATTTTTTTGTACAGTACGTGTCGAGAAGCAGAAATAATCAAAACTCGACGAACTGAACAGATTTCTGCACGAAGGACGAGACAGAATCGACTTGGTCTAAATCATTCAGTCGAGTCGATGAAAACGCGATATTTGGCTTTGATCGACTCGAAGGGAGAAAGGATCAATTCATAATTGTGATACATTTCTACCTTGTCTTAGCTGAGAATAAAATTGGTTTTGATATTCTTCCCATCCACCCTGAGAAATACTTGAAATACTGCGGGCACAAAGACAAAGCACATTAGTGTAAATCAAAAGTCGCCACCCTTCCCGACTTTCTTGGGTATGAACTCTTAAACTTTGCGCAGCCGAGAAACAGGCTCTTGGTCCATCTCTTGGAGTCTAATTTTAGAAAAAAAAATCAACATTCATGAGCTGCAAAAGAGTATTCCTATCCGCATCGGCTTCTATTGCTAAATGTATCGGCTGACGTAGCTACCTTCTGATATTTTCCAAGAGAAACCTTTTCGCAACTTAAATATTTCCTGTAAGAATCTCTGTAAATATATATTAAGAATCGATTTCAATGACATGCTCCAATTGCATACGCCGTTATTACAGGTAGAGGGGCCATCCATACCCTTACGAAAAAGTCCTATAGGAAACCCATAAACTTTTTCTAGAGGTTTTTGAAACACGAAAAACCTATATGATCCCTATAGGGTACTAAAGGACTCGTGACATAGGATTCGGTGAGATTACTTTGGGTTTCGAAACCCTAACATTACCACCGGGATTATTACTAAATGGGATAACCACCGTAGTCAATATTGGCGTTGTTCTTTGCCGCATCTTGTATCTTCCATACAAATAGTGCCTGCACAAGTATAACTCTGCCTATAAACATGTCTATATTATGGATGGGCATGATGATGTATCCGCGAGCTCACTTCCTTCCCTGGAGAGAGAAGGACCATTCTCCACCCAGCCTAAGGAATGGGCAAACAAAACCTGCTTACAACCTCTCTTTGCTTAAATTCCTTTCCGGGAAAATGAAAGAAAAAGTTTTCGTATGGGGTTCTCATAGAGAATATGAGCATATTTCTGGACTGGACTCCATGATTCTGTCTGGAATATGGGGGTAGCAAATAAGGAAGTGTCCAAGTTTATTGATTGCTAAAATGAGGCAGGGCGAGACATATAGAGAGGTACAAAACACTCCTGTGAAAGATCATTCCATAGATAGAGGGAAGGGCTCTTTCGCATACTGTGAGAAATGGGAGACCCATTCCTCCATCTAGTGGCCTAGAGGAGAACTTTTTAAAAAATTCCCCAAAACTTTCCTGTGCAACGTAGGGACATCATCGCATTGGTCCGGAATTGGATCGATAATAAGATGGAATGGCAATATTGAGAAGCCGATATTTACTCGCTATTGACAATATTGGGCAAGGTGCAGCCAACATGTCCAATGTTGGTCCAGCATTAAGCCAATATCTGGTGCTACAAGGGTGGGGAGTGAGCATTGCAATAAGTGACACGACAAAGTTGACCCAACGTTCAGCCAATGTTGAACGTCAACGTTCATCCTAGTTATGCGATAAGTGAGATTTATATATGGAATTAATTTTAAATGCAATGCCCCAAGACGCTGGGAATGTTCAAACTTAACGTTCATACAATGTTGATTGAATATTCGTTTGTTACCTGGGTCCTTTCGCTTTTCGAGACGTCTTTCTATGAATAATTCCTGTATCCCCCACTGTTCTAACAGATGTGCTGTCCATCACGGGCTTATGAGATTCTCATAGGAACCTTATACTGTATATCCTATAGGAATCCTAATGTATACCTAAGCATTCTCATCGGAAACTTATAGGTCTTAAGGATGTAGGAACCGGGCGGCAGGGGTGGTATATGCCCCTTCACTTTTCCAGATGGGGGGCAAAGGGTATCTTCCCCCCCCCCCATCTTTTTAAATCCAAGAGTGATGCGTACACGGGCAAGTTGCGACGTAAGTACCTTCGTGGCATTCAATGGGTTTACAAAGTAAATTTAGCTTGGAGAGAGGTTAATGCCTGAGGGAGAATGGCGTGGTAGGGCACACTTGATAGGCACCCAGTGAGAGTTCTTTTTTGTCTCAGGTTCAATATCTCCCATCCGATTAGACTTCGCCTCTGTTCTCGAAAGTCTTTCCTTGAAAAAGAAGGGCGGTTCTGGAGTCAGTCTCCTTCAGTCATGAGTTTGGCTCGAAACGTTTTTAACTGTAGAACAGTGAATTGAAGCTCAGCGCCATGTCATGGAAGAGAAGCGCTCAAACTGGGACTCTTTTTTGTTTCATTTAAGAAACCAAAGACGTCAAAATATGAGGAAAATTCAGGAATGGAAAACTTCAACGATGTTGTATTATCGGTTGTCCTTACGGACAGTATTGCTCATGAACCTATGCATCTTAGTGAAAGTGGCCCTTTTCAACCGCAAATATATATTTTTCCAAGAAAATGGGGCAGGATATTCAATGCAAAGTACTTTGATATGTGGCCATGGATTTCATACTTGCACAACATACGTAGCACAAAACCGCGAAAGGCGCGATTTTGTGCTACGTGTGTCGTGCAAGTATGAAATATTTATGTTGTGTATGCATCAACAGATAGGTCTCTTTTGGATTTGAGGCGGCTCAAGAATTAGTTGCAGACGTCGACGACACAACAGCGCCTGACAAATATTTCTTTGATGCATCCACATCAATACTTTTTGGACTCAGAATTAGACAAATTTATTAAATATTTTGCAAAGAAAACCGAGGAAAGGAGAATATTTGCATTCTAGTTTCACGTGAATTTGATATCCTGATCGTGTTTGAATTAAATAGTAATTTTCCGAATTTCGTAACTGACCTATCTCCTCTGCCCCCCACTTTCGAGGACGTTCCTACGCCTGATAGGTCCAATGAGAAACCTATAGGATATTCTTCGATTCCTATAGGAATCTTATTGACTCCCATTAGGAATGCATGCTTCCCTATAGGAACCCTACAGGTTCTAAAGGAAACTTATAAGATTCCTATATATTCCTATAGGAAACCTTTAGCATTCTACAGAATTCCTATACATTCTTATAGAAATCCTTTAGAACATTTTCGTAAGGGTAGGGCTTCAAATTCTCAGGCTTTTGATGCGGAAAGGGACAGAAATCATGGATAGACGTGGACATTCAGTACCCTCGGGAAATGGAGTCCAAAGCAAGAAGGATGAATATCTCTTCGTTGTAGTAGTGAATCCCCGCATCCTCCACGAAGTCATGTTCGTCACTGACATCTTCGTCGTCCTCCTCATCGTCGTCGTCCTCATAGTCGTCGTGGAGGGAGGATTAGGATCTGGAAAGTCACACGGAGAGTGAATTCTTCTCACGCTTTTAATCACTCCTTGTACACAAGGGTATACTTGCAATATGTATTAGACATTGGTAATTAAATACTTGGAATAAACATGCCTTCTATCAGATTTAAGCCCAGGAAAAAATACGTAAACTTTCCAATTCAGTCTATAGAGTAAGGGAGTTTATGTGAAAGTGTTGTGAACCTGTCCCCTTCATTTTTAAAGATGAGCAGAACCACGTTCGTTTGCCAGCTGGCTTGAGCGAAGGCATGCAGGTATTAAATATTCTATATTGAAAACGGAAACTTGTTCGCCTTTCTGAACAAGAGTTACACGACGAAGGAATCCACAGGGTGTTGAAGTAACGCAACGAATTATCTCAGAGGTGTTGACCTTCGTGTTAACATCAGTGCATCATCACTCGAAACAGTCGAGAAATGAACAAACACAGCTCTTCAAACGGTTTTTGCCTCCCTTGAGAAGAGCATATCTCACCAACCAAACTTGTTTATGATGCAGGCAAATATTCTTGAAGAGATTACTAGATCTTCCGAACCTTAAGTTCAAAAAGTTCTGTTCTTGTTCATTGAAAGATTTAAATTCATTTAAATGAGGAACACTGCCTTTTGATAAGTAGGTGATCTTGCGACAATCACCAGACACTTGGAATGAACATGATTCCATCATGAAGTCCCATTCGTCTAAAATGTCAGGCATGAGCTAATGAGGTCGACAAAGTTTGTCTGGTAAAAAAAAAACCACCTAAAATTTAATATATAGAAGTATTCAGACGGGTAAAAATGGAATCATGTCCAGTTTTTTTTTTTACCAGGACTTCCATAGTTGATAATGTGGAAAATACATTTCTAGAGGAAAATTAGACAGTTCAAAATGTTCAAAAAAATCAGCCGCGAAAATTCAATTTAACCGCATGAGTTACATATCGACGGAATGAGCTTGTAGAGAACTTCCAAATCGCGCTAGATAGAAGTTTGGGTTTTGTTTAAAACGGGAACGAGAAGCATTCAATCTCGGTGAAAAATGGCAAAATCGGATTTTTCAAATTCGATTTTCCGTTGTTTCGAACAAAATGGTGACTTTAAATTTGTCATTCCACAGCTTTTGACTAGTTTTCCAAAGTTCCAAAAGCACTTCGAGATGCCATTATACCCACTGTTTGAAATTAGCACGCAAATTGTGACATTTTTTCAAGTTTTTGAGAATTCATAACTCAATTTACAACAAATTCCTAAATAAATACAGTTAACATCCTGGTTTTTCATAATCTCAGCTTAATTTTGAGTCCAAGAACGCCCTTCTAGTTTACTTATCACCAAAGATAACAGTCTGATCCCAAAGATCGCTCCTCCTCTCTGGTGTGAAATTTGGAACACCATTCTTCGTTAACTGTTACAATCAGAGCGCCCAAATTTGGAGATTTTCCACAACACTTACATGGCATAATGCATGAATTTCTTCAAGAAAATTGGAAACTGAAGCGCACCCATTACCTGACTACTTGAGCTGGAAAGATTCATTTTTTCATATTTTCTTTATCGGACCATTTTGGTAGTACCCCCTAGCGCGTGAGGGGAAGCTTCCTCTATTAAGTGAACATCTGTTCATCTGTTCCCGCCATGGCATGCAATTTCAATACCTCATGCAAATGCACATCTGTTGCCTATAAGACAGAAATTTTGACTCATCCAGTTCACCCAGTATACATATTATACTTTATATATATTTAGATACTTCAAAAGCGTTCGCCCCAATACAAAATGAGAATCGGACGTTACCCAGTCCCCGAGAGCTAAAGAACGGGAAAGCAAATACACCTGCTTGAGGGTCCCTTTCTTATTTAAAGAGGGTCTCCTTCGAAGAAATAACTAATTAAAAAAAAATAAACATACCGGAGTGGTATCTAATTCGCCGTACGTTAAGATCGAGTTTGGAAATCCCGGCGGGCCCCTCAAACGAGTATATTTCCCTCTCATACTGAAAATATACAACCAGTGCAACCCCTTGCGACAAAAGAGGACTGATGATCGGGGGAGAAGCGGGGAAGCGGAGATCGGGGGTTGTAGGCGGGTTTTCTAATGTCCTTTTGCATTATGACCACGCGAGTGAAGAATGAATCAACTGGACTGACTCTGGAGGTGCATGTGAGAAGTGGATTTGCCGAGGCTATTCATTCCATGGCACTCGTAGAGGCCATAATGCTTGGCTTCTACAGCTGGAATGACCAACGTCTGCTTCCAGCTCTTGTGTTGCCGCCATCCGAAGCCGACTTCCAGTTCCTCCTCCTCCCTGTTATGACAACCGAGGATTATTTACGAGCAGACCATGCAAGATGGCAAGATGATGCCTGTCTTTTGAGCTCTCATTTCGTTGTTCTGGGAACCGTCTCCATAATAGCGTATAATCTAACGGCTACGGCTGATTTTTGGAGTCTGGTAGCGAATACAACAGTAAATCGTGGGGCAAAACTGCGCACTTATCACCATCTAGTGCAACGGTTCTTAACCATTTTTTTACCTACGGACTACCCAGATCCTCAAGTATTACCCATGTACCCCCCCAAGTATTACCCCCGATTATCAGAAACCTTGAAACACCTGAATTTGTGATTATAAATTATGTTTTTCGGGAGCTACCTTCGATTAATTTTTAATTTTCCACGGGCCCCCTGGACCTACCCCAGGGACCCCAGGTTAAGAACCCCTGATCTAGTGGTTAGGTAACTCCAGATGCGATTGAACCTCAGAACGGGGTGGAAAATCACGTGCGTTGCAAAATGAATGAGATGGGAAGCCCGAAGCGGTGAAAAAATTCGAGTTGGAGCTAGGACGATCATGGAGACCGAAGGATAATACCACAAATAATATTCTCTCACCATGGTGAGAGAAAAGAGAGGAAAGAAGATCATGGAAGTGAGAATTAGAGCAGTGATTAAAGACGCCATCTTGGAGGAAAAGTGCAGGTTTTGCGAAAGGCACGAAACACGGACCAGCTCTTCCTTGTCCACCAGATTCTCGAGAAATACTGAGAGCAGGCCTAAACTGTTTGAATGTGCTTTGAGGATCTCGAGAAGACCCACGACCGTCAGCATCGATTGTAGTTTTTGGGGAGTGCTGCAGGAATATGGCATTATCGGTGAGCCGCTGAGGACTTTAAGTTCTCATGCAGTGATGGTAGGGGTTTCATTCGCATGAACGGGATCATTTTTCAACCCGTTAGTGTTCGACTCCGTCAGATTTGAGCTCTCTTTCCTTTCCTGTTCATCGTGTTCGTGGATCGGATCTGTTTGCGCAGGTGAAAGTGCTTTCATTGCCAAATATGCCTTTTTGCCATTTCTCGATGAGGTTTTTGCCATCCGTTCGGATCTCCAGGTCGATGAACCACGTATCCGAATCGCGAGATTTCAAGCCCGTCGCTTCCGACGCGTCTCCCTATGCACCCTGTGAGACTCCCACGAAGGGTCTTTCAAGCCAGTGTGGCGTACGATCAGTCGGTTGGCCTCTTGCAAGATGAACGGACCACATCGCCAAGCATTTCCTGGAGAGACTCGCTATTCCACCTGCTGAGCTCGAGTCCGTTCCCCAGGATCGGGAACACCAGAGTGTGCCTCTGGGTCTCGTCGAGCTGCGACCCTATCGACTTCTTATAAGCGTTCTCGAATATGTACGTACTAGTACGTATGTAAATCCATGCATATGTGAACCCAATGGCTTAGACAGGTAAAGAAAGAAGGATCTAAGCGTTCATTCTTTCAAAAGTACTCGAGACGAACAAGGCAGACGATTCAGAAGAGGAACTCACACAGTGGAGTTGATGTGCATTCCGTTGAAAGTCCAAGTGATTTTAGGCTTCGGAAAACCAGACATTGTGCATTCGAGTCTCGCTTCCTCCCCCATCTCGATCGCCAGTCCCGCCCAATGTTCATCAGATGACGGTGCATCTGAGAAATAAATTTAATACACTTTAAAAAAACGTTAGTTTCTGAGTGAGTGAAATTAAAAATGGGAGAGGGAATTCCTGAATGCTAGTTATCTGCTCGACCGAATGCATAGGGAACAGGGCGAAATGCAATGAGATAGATGTGGGACGGGAAAGAAAGGAAAAACACTCAGGTTCTACATTGATCTCTTACATTGAACGTTGACCTGAATGCGTTTGCTGACATCAGGCTGGACGCCATTGGTAGCAGTGCACACGTACGGTCCGGCCTCACCCCTATGGATGTTCGACAACTCCAGAACTTCCCCTTTCACCGATTTCGCTAAAGTAAAAAGGAGAGTATGCAATCCATACTGTATTCAGCCAAAGACGAGTACATCGGAGAGTTGATAGGGATTGGGAAATCCAATACGTGGGATCCCCATGAAACTCCCAGATGGAATCGCCTCAAAATATAAGACACCGTCACGCGGAAAAAAACTCTGTTTCGATGCTGCTCTTCGTCGTGGATGGCATATTCTCGCAAATGTTTAGTTGAGGGATTTCAGAGCCTTTGCGCATTAGTGAAAAGAGGTTGATGTTACTTTCCAGTTGGAGGTCTCCAGCTGAAGGGCTTCAAAACAAGACATTTCATCGTATAGGCGGGTACTTTTGGCAACATTTGGGACACTTTCAGCACTTTAGAGGAAGTATCTTCCTCTTTTCGAGTTAGAATCACATCCTCCAAAAATGTACCACCTCAACTTTGTCCTAGTATTTTTTACCATTCCCAAAAGGGACCTTGCAGCGAAAAAGATAGAAAAGATATGAAAGCGTCGCTATGATCGAAGTATTTCACCGCATCACGTTTACGCCTACCATCCTGATTTGCAGTTGCATTTTTTGACAAGGTCCCATCGTGCTCATTATCATGCTTTCCGACTGCTGACGCCATCCTCTGTCATGTACTATACAATTATCGCTTTCACAAACGGTCAAGCTGCCAAGAAAGACACCCGAATCATGACATGAAACCAACTTTCGATGAAGAGAGTGCCGAAAAGATCCGACAAGAATAGGGGTCCCTCATCTCCATCTGTGGAGTTGGTAAATCCAATCTGCAAGATGTCCCTGTCGTCCTCCCTTGTCCATTGGATCTCGGGCTGAGGGTTCCCTCTGGCCCGACATGACAGTCTCGCGTCGTCCCACTCCCTCACCGTCACGTCTCCGCTACTTTTGTCCTCAATTAGGACAGGCGACTCTACGTGCGAAAAATTCACGTCCTCCTCAGTTCTGCGGGAAGCCTGAGTGATGGCTCGTTACTCACCGTCACGGGCTCCCACGAACCTTTCGCGAGGATGCATCCGACACTCTTCAGCTCGTCTACTTGGCACGTGTAACAGCCAACGTCGCCCGATGACACGTGTTCGATGTGAAGCGACCAAGTGCGATTTTCCCGAGTCGAAACCGAAACCCTGGCATCATCAAGCATCACCTTCTCGTTCTCGGTCAGCACCGTCTCGTTTCGGATCCACATCATCTGCCAAGATGGGACATGAAAATCGTTACGATGCCCACCGTCCCCAAGATACGGCCAAACTGGAGCTTTCCGTGACATGGGATCATGTCGCACGGACGCATTCGAGCGAAAAGCACCTTGTGGAATCCGAGATTATCAACGATGCACAAGAGCTCTGCTTTCTCACCGAACGGCACCGTGATGTTTTTGACCCGGTACAGAAACGGATGCTTCTCTTCTACTGCATCTTCTATTGAGAAAAATTGCGCATAATCCAGATTCATCATGTGCAGACGACTGATAGTGTCTAATGCAAGGACAAGATTGAAAAGGTTTTCGTGTTTTCTTGGATACGTATCAAGAGGCAACACAGTCATTCCGAATAAAGATGAAAATTTTCAACAATGTTCTGAATACGAAAAGCTTGCCTTAAAGCTTGCCCTATACTTTAAAGTGAATATTTACATTAAAATGTTGACTTATTCCAGTGCCCTGTCTTTCAAGCTCAAATGCAAGAAACTTCAGATTGCTTCAGAGTTCATCTGGCATTAGCTATGAGAACTGCTCTTGCAATTTCGCGTTTCGCATAAGTCTCCCTCGAATACACCAGCTTGAAAAGAAAAATATATGAAGCATGTTGACGAGCATACATGCAACAGCTGTGAAAGCGGAACTTGTGAAAAATTATCGGGAGGTTTTCCCGTCACATGACATGGTGAACTTCTGATAACACGACTCACCGTTGCTAAATGAAAAGAATCCCGGGATGCAAAGGATGGAAAGCAGGACTGTCGAGCAGTGAGTCATTGCGGAATCCTCTTCCCAAATTCAACGACCGGCTGTGAGACGAGATCCTAGCAACAATTACTCGCCATAACAATTTTTGGTTACTTTTTTTCAGAAATTTGAAATTAGAAATTGAAAAGAATTTCAGGAAAAAAACTACTGAAAAACAGCTTAATCAAAGATTTTGCCTTAAGAAGAAACACTTTGAAGTGAAACTCTCAGTAGCCCAGTTCCAGCGTACCATGACGACAAAAATTCACCAGTAAATATCCATTCGGCACAACGTTGTGCCAACATTGAGAATAGCTTGAAACGTTGAGACTTGGTTGAAGTAGAGAATTCGACGAAGAATCAATATCAATGAAATGCTGGCTATTCGTAATTAACCGAATTTTCAGCATATAGCGACTCCTCGTGGATTAGCGAAATCGTTCAGTGGCTATTAAGCATAAATTCGTTTTTCATCATAGTCTCTCCGTTGTTTCTACGTGGAGTTAACCACATCCTATTAACAGGAAATATGTTCTACGAATTGACGCGAGATGGCGCCTAATCGCCAATTCAGCGAATCTTACCTTGGTGCCCTAAAAATAAACAGTACCTTGCATTTTTCATACACTACCCGATTTTTTCACATGTACAACTTAAGGGAAAGTTTAGGAATAGTTAGACCTGTTTAAGGAGATAATTTGACAGGAGACTGAAAGTACTTCTGGCCAGTGGGTTCGAAGAGACATGCTCAATTTTCCCAGATCTCCACATGGCACGTAACCTCACTCGGGTTCTTTCAAGACCTGCGGCCTGCGGCCGCTATGCTGGCCGTCTAATCGGTGGAAATTTGAATCGTCTATTGTGTGCTTAATGTCTCCTTGACAATTCTCTGTTCATCGCATTACCCACTCGGAACTGAACTGCTTCATTACATTTATGTACATAAAGCTTACAGAACACAGGGATATTCTGCTCCTAAACACCATCATCATGATATTCGAGCTGATTGTCACAATCGCCATTGTAAACGCCTCGGTTTAACACGTTTTCATGAGACTGAAGACGACATTGCTGATTTCGTCTTCCCAACACATTCAACACTCTTGCATCACCGATTAGCTCATCGGCTATTAGCGTTAGTATATGGTACAGACACCAATGATTCTGAAACAGTACGGACCGTTTCCTAGAAATTGTTCGACGGCACCGAGGAAAGTTAGTGCATGTGCGGCACAATGCTAAAGACTAATTCCTGAAAATGCCAACCTTGCATCAAGTTGCTTAGCAGGCTGAATGGCTTTCCTATTCCGAAGCTCAGCATTCGCTGCCTCTGACTGGTCCCTACTCTTCCCACTCACCATCCAACGAACAGGAGAACTTATGAGCCTAGTCTCTAGTTCGGCGAATTTGTCGAGTTACAAACATCGTCGAGGAGAGGCTGCAAGAAGTTTCTCCTATTTCCATGTAGTTGTCATTTACAATGCGTGTCCTATGGACTTCATGAATTTTTTATTCTTAATAATAATCCCCCATGTTAAATAAGCCTGCATGGGAATGCTTTCTCTTCGGTACGTATGCGACGAGTAAATGGCAACGGAGACACCGCTCGATTTCTCCAACCAATCAGTTCATCACCTGCAAGAATCAAGACATATCATTCCCAATGGTGTTTTGAACTCAAACAACTGAATACGCACACACACACACCATTATGCAACACAACAATATAGAGAACTCACCCAAAGCCGGCCGGAAGACGTCCGAGGGAACTATGAATTCTTATTGGAATCCCGAGCGCTTTTAAACCCGTCCTTGCCACTCCCCCACACACCCATTCCCCCCCACACACACCTGATCTCAAGGACACGATCTTGTCTCTCCCCCTTTCCTTGGGAGATATACATCTGCCTTCCAACCGTCTTCCAAACGTGATCCATATCAATCTCCATCACGAGTTCCACACTCCACGGATTCCCATGTCCATTTCTCTCCTCACAAATTTAGCAGAATAATTAATCTCCATGCTGGAAGTACGGGCGAGACCGAGAGCGGACACACAGTTAAAGCTCTTCAACCCTGCAACCATTCCCTCGGAAAACTCATTTATTGTATGTCGACTCGTGTAGACCTCCCCATCGGTTCGCGCTCGACTTGTTCTTGGTAACATGACATGTACCACCAGCATTCTCACTCTTGTACATGGAATTCACTCTTGCAAAGAAAAAAGTGGGGAGGCCGGCGTCACTGTCGGCTTCGCTTGCCGGTGTCTATTAGGAAATGTTGGCATGTCTTCAGGCTCCTTTGCCTGCAGGAGAGAGCTGCTCTGTTATCGGATTCCGCATTCCCCATGCATATCGGCATTGTTATGTCTATGGATGTCGATGGAAAACTGAAAATCGCAAAGGAGAAAATCGTGGAACCGTTATTTTCTCCTCGGACGGATGCACCTCTGTTCATCCTGAAGTGATCTATGAAATTATCAAGTATCTTCTATATCAGAGGTAATTTTAACGCCAGAAACGTGTTGAACATGAATCGATTGGACAGGGCAGATTTCATGCGATAATAAATCATTGTGCTTTGCTCGACCTATAATGTGCGACTAACTGCAAAATTTTGAGCTGAGAGTATTCATCATTGCTTTATTTCGAAACATACTGCTATCGCAAATTTTACTTAAATTGCACGAACAGGGTGAAAGTCTGTCGACCGTATAACGCCTGTTTGGAGACAGACATGGGTGTAAAAACGGATATTTCCAGGTCTCCGATCCATGCTATTGCGAGAAGCATGCTTCAATCATGACTCGGCGAGAGTATCGTCCCAGCTTCACTGCTGCCTCCAAGCGTTAAGTTACGTAGTAGTTTATTCCCAGAGGCTAAGATCAATTGCGCTGCAAAATGAGTTTCAGAGACTCGGATGAGTGCGTATGTCACTGAATAATTCAACGGGAACATCTCCTCACCATCAGCAGCACACGGAAAAATTTCCGCGTCCAGAAGCTTGGAATTATCAATTGCGCTGCAAAATGAGTTTCAGAGACTCGGATGAGTGCGTATGTCACTGAATAATTCAACGGGAACATCTCCTCACCATCAGCAGCACACGGAGAAATTTCCGCGTCCAGAAGCTTGGAATATACGAGATCCAAGAGCAGAAGCTCAAGACCTTCGTCAAGGAAGTTTGAGACATGGCCGTGCCGGATTCCTGTAAGCAGATCCAGATGGAGGCATATAGCACAACGAGACGGCAAGTTCCGCCTACGATACGCACTTTCATCGAGCGGCACTCTCATCCCGTATCGATCTCGACAATGTGCGTATCGTCGGTAAAGTCCCTCTTTTCATGTAGGACTATGAGTGAAATATACGCTAGGGAAGCGGGATGCTTACTACGCGGCCGACGGCGTCTTTCCGATCCAAGGGTTCCTGTTCCATACAGGTGGGATCCCGCCGTTTTCACCCTCGAGAATCTCTCTCCTTGTGAGATTGCCGATTAATAAAAGGACGGGGTACTATTTGATAAAGGGGTCGAGATCCGGATAAATCTAGGATCTGATGATGAAATATATATTATGAGATCTCATCCCGGCGAGGAAGCCATCCATCCATGGGGATGAAAGGGGACTACAAGAGTATAACGCAGGGACGTTTTACACGTCCCTACTGAGAAGTCCGTATCAGATCCTTGGGTCTGTATCGGGAGCAGGGGGTGTGCTTAGAATGCATCTCTCCTATTGTAATGTTATGGATAACACGGAAAGAAAAAAAAGTTTGCATTTGGTTTGGTGGTGTAGAGGGAAAGTCTGAATCCGCCAAGTAGGAGGCCCTGGGTACGATTCCAGGCAGTAATATTGTTTTCCTTTCTTCATTCCATCTGAAATCCCCCCCCCCCCCCCCAGGCTATTACGTTCTCCAGAATAGATCCGACAGCCGCAATGTCCGGAGGGAAGGTGCGAGCTTGAGAGAGAGAGGCAGACACCCGGAGCCGGGCAGAAGACCCCGCGCATGCGCACTTGTCACTGCGGTCATACAGACGCCCAAGCATAAGATATACTGTATATAGATATAGATTGTATAATTATTTTAATTAACTGTTTAATTTTATTACATTGTTTATTACATTAACATTTGTTTAACACTGTTTAATCTCGTAAGTGCTCGAAATGTCTTCCATCAACGTTGCAACATTCCTCGAACCTGTCAAGAACATTGTGACACACAGAACAACAAAATAAATTTAAAAAAAACTAAACAACTGTACACCTACTTTTGGGCCACCCTGTATAGATACTAGCGGCCTACGGTCGCTAAGCTGGCCTTCTAATAGGTAGAAATTTGAATCGTATATTGTGAGCATAACGTCTCCTTGACAATCCTCTGTTAATCGTATTACTCATTCGGACTGAATGGCTTCATTACATTTATACACATATAGCTTACAGTAGGGAAGAAGATTCTGTTCCTAAACATCAGCATGATATTCCAGCTGATTGCCACAATTAACA